GTGGTGGGCCCCGGCCCCCTCCCGCCCCGGCGGAGCAGCGGTCAGCCGCGGGCAAAGCCCGCCTCGGAGGAGGAAGAGCCGCTAGAGCCGACCCGCTTAGGTACTGACCGCCCCCCAAAGCCTTTCAGTGCTCCCCACGATCATTGGCGCCTCCAGAGGCCTCCGTTTGCCTCTCGTTGTCCCCCGGAGCCCCTGTCTGTGTGGAAGCGCCCCCAGGGCCGTCTGCCTGACCCTTCAGTTTGCTCTGCAGGCCCCCCAGAGCACTCCAGGTGCCTTCTGGCGGTCTCTCAACCGCTCTGTGCACTGTTTGGTGTTCCCCAGAGCCCTCTGTGTTTGTTTCCATGCACCCCATGGCCGCCCAGGTGTTTTTTGGTGTGTCCTATAAGCCCTCGGTGTGCCCTGAAGCCTTCTCTTCTTCAGGACTTTGTGGGTTTCTGGGTACACCAGGGGGGTGGCAAGGGGTCTTTGGGCTTTACAGTCTCAAGCTGGGCAGCACCCAGCAGCTCAGATGTGAGCTCCGTGCGGTGGGCTAGCAGATGGCTCGGGGCATCCCCCCCTGGCTTCAGCTCTGGAGCCCTCCATCCTGCCCAGCACAGCATCTTTCCTCCCGGTCTGGCCCAGGAAGGATGCTCAGCGAGAGCAGGAGCAGCTCCTGCTTTCACTGCAGCGCTGGAGGCAGAGGGACTGCTAAGTGAGGAGCTAATAGTGCTTCCTAAAACCGATCCCTTCTGCTCTTGGTCTGACCCAAGGCAGCCTGCGTTTGTGTGCAGGACCCTGTGAAGACGGGAGGGCTCCTCCATACCTCCACCTCAGCTTTTCACCTGCCTCCCCAGTTCTCAGCAGATGAGGCCAGGTTATCTGTATTGCTTTGGTCTCCCTGCGCGTACTAGCAGGGAAGGTTTGCTGGGGAAAGCTGTTGCTCCTCAAATTTCCTTTTCCCAGCAGAGCCGTGGCCTGGTGTGCCTGATTCCAGCAGTCCTGCCTACGGCACAGTGCCTGGGCTGTGGGCAGAGGAGACACGTTCCTTGCTTTAGTATGGAAAGCAGTCTGGACTGAGGGCTGAGCTATGTGCCTGAGGCAAGGCTGCGTGATGGGGGAAATAAAGCTGTGTGTTTTATTTTTGTAGCCTGTCCTGCCCTGCAGAAGCATTAGCAGAAAGTTAGATGGCCTGGACCTGCTCCTGCCTCCACCGTCATCCTGAGCCCATCGCTGATGGGAAGAGCAGCTACTTCTCCAGTGCCGCCACCCAGACGAGAAGCTTTTCCAGCCCTACCAGGCCAGCATTCCCAGCCGTCGTGCCCCCGAGGGGGGTGAAACAGCAGCTGCTCCAATCCTTCCTGGGGGATTTAGGTACTGGGGACTGCAACGTTGCTGCAGTTTGACGTCCAAGTTCTTCCCGACTGCAAAGTGTCCTTCCAGCCTGAACCACTGGATGGGGCAGAAGGAAAAGATGTGTTTTGATCTCAGCTACATTCCATAGGAGCAGCAATCCGGAAAGACGCTGTGTTCCCTGCTGAGCCAACCCTGGCAGCAGTTCCCCTGCTCCCCACACAGAGCAGCCAAGGGATCGCTGTGCCATCAGCTAGTTTCTGCGCTGACTCCAGCCACCCCAAAAATGGCAAAAGAATAAACTTGTGGAGACTGGCGTCTACTGGTAAGCACAGCTCAAGCACCCTGGAGGCCCAGGGCACTTCCAAAAGCCACAAGGGACTAAGTGACTTGGGGGGGGCCCAAAAACCCTGGAGGGCCTATTTGTCCCCAAATAACTCAGGGTCTGAGCAAAGGGGTCTGGCCCCTTCCCTCAGCTGCTCCAGTTGGGCCAGACTAAAAAGGAGAGGCTGTAAAACCCAGGTTATGCTTTGTGATGTGTCTTCTGATGAGCAAAAGCTTCATTATGAAGCTTTTAATGGCTACTGTAAACAAATCAATATCTCCAGCTATACATCCGAAATGAAGGAGGCTGAAGGAACTATGAAGGTTTTTAATGTCCAAGTAAATTACTCTTGCTGTGGCAATAGCAATGTGTGGAGCATTTGATTATTCCCAGCTATTAGTGATGCTGGCGAGGACAGAAATATTCATGCTCTGTATTTAACTGGAAATTAAGAGAATGTATCATTTGGTGACAGGACCTTTTACAAATGGCTGCTCCCCAACTAATAAATCACTGGCAGGACTTTGGGAAACCTGATTTACCACTCAGACCTGCCGGTGGGTATTTACCGGAGGATGCGTTCCTGAAAATCCCCTGGTAGATAGAGGTGTGCTGGGATTCTCCTGCTCTTGGAGGAATGCTGGAGGCTCATTTAAGGTTTGCTTTGGGGGCTGGGAAGAATGATTTATGAGGGAAAGCCGGCTGTCCGCCCACCAGGCAGCAAACGCTGCCTGCTGTGCTCCCGGTACTTTTCCACCTGCCTGCCTGCACCGTGCCAGGGCTGCGGGAAGCTTTGGGGTGACACCAAACACGGGGGATGTCTCCTAGCTGCAGGCAAGTGCTGGAGGGAGGTGGGAAGTTTAGGAGAAGAGTGTGTGGGGGGGGAGTGGGGCTGTGTGACTGCTGCAGCTGCCTCGACAGACTTGAAACCTTGTCGGTCACGTCCACGGGACTGCTGAGCTGCTTGGCGAGTCCCAGGGGTGGGATGCACTGACCGCTCCGGACCCACAACATAGGTAGCGTAGCAACGAGGATCTTCCCCAGCTGCAAGGCTTAAAAATAGAGCTGGGGAGCTCTATCCATCGCAGCCTTCTGGGGTTACTGGGACCTCTGTCCCCTACAAGCATCGGACCTCGGCTCGACTCGGGTGCTCGCCCGTGGCGATGGGGCTGCTGGAGGTTTGGTTTCTGCCTGGATTGGGGGCACTTCTGCATGCACCATGTCCCCAAGCGTCCGGGGACCCTGCTGCAGTGGCTGAGACTGTTGATGCCACACAAGCAGGGTCTCCTCTCGTTGAACTGGCGCGGCCCTCTCTAAATGACCTGTAAACTAAAGATTATCTGGTAATTTCCGTGTGCTGGAGCAGATGCTACAGGAGCATTTATTAACCCACTGGTACTCTTCTTATGCAAACAACTGTAGCTCATCTCAGTAATAAAAGGTGATTTAATACCTGCTCGGCTGCTGACAGTGACTAGGAAGGTGCTTGGTTTTGGTTTTCAGTGCAGATCCTTTTTGTGGCCAGGCACCCTAGGGTCAGTCTCTTCGTCTGATTTTCCCTTCCAGACCATGCTGTCTGCTTTCAGCCTTGCTTGTTATTGCTGCAGAGCTACTTCTGGTCGTGCTTGTACCTTGGGGCACAAGGAAGAGGTTGAAACCTCAGAAGGGGTAAATGGTTTGATTTCTCTAAGGTCTTATTAGGAAGGCCCGTTGCCGAGCAGCTTTCCTGTGCCCTGGCTCAGCGCTACGTCTGAAAAGGCTATAACACAAGTTGCACTAACACAGCTTGGATTTTCTGTTCCCCTTAGAGAGTGTGGCTCTGAGCAGGAAGGCCCTGGAGGAGTCCAGCATGCGAAGGACCATCCCACAGGGTTTCAGAGCTCAGGATGGCCCCACCGACTTCTCCCTTTGCAGGCGACTGACTCGTTTGCAACGAGCAGTGATGATCTGTCCTTTTGTGCTCTCATTTCTTGTGTTTTATCACCAGGTAAAGCACTTGTACTATAAAATCCAGGATTTCACAGAGCCGATAATGGCTGCAAAATCAAATATAAAAATAACTCCTCAAGTGCAGCGACGTATAAATCATTGGTAGCACGGTCACAGCGCAGGCTCGCACTTCCAGCTGAGGAAAAGTCCTCAAGGTCCCGACGGAGCAATCAAGACAAGATTGCGGGGTCGAAAGCGGATGAGGGATGTGATGAGCTGT